AGCGAAGGGTCCATGGCTGTCTGAATGGCGCGAGGGTCGCGCTTCTGTGTGCGTCTGGCGACAAAAGTGCGCTTAAATGCTACGTTTACGGAATCTTCCGGGATTAAATCGGCTAATCCCGCCGGTGGAAAAATGCTCGCGAGAGACGCCATCGATAGACGCCTCGCGGCATCCTCTAGCGCAAAGACTACTAGTTGGCGAAGCAGCCTTGTTTTCACGACGATAGATCGTCTGGTTAGACTCGAGAGGTTTACCTTAGCCTGCATTATCCAAATAGGATGCAACCCGCGTGTTACGCTTGTAAAGCATACACGTGGGAAGCGATCAAATATACGCGCGGAGGCGTGTATTTTTATACGCGAGAACGTTGAACGAAACGGAGGATACCGTGCAATTCCTCGTGACGCGGGTATCCTATATATCGACAAACTCGTGTATCGAAATAATTAATAAGCATCTGAGCGGGTACAGCGATCGATAGTTATATATATACGCGACAGGGGACGTAATGATAAAAACTCGCACGTGGAGCGAGCACAAACGCGATCTGCGACTCGGTGTGCCCGGTGAAAAGCACTTTGGAGGGATTCCGCGGGTAATCGATGGAACACGGTATCGGTGAAGAAGTTTGCTCGCGGAGGTACTCGTCTGAGGAAAGAGAGAAAAAGTCGCAGCGTTTTCTCCAGGTTCGCGTGTATTCGAAAGACGGCGGAAAGAAAGCTGAAACGCAGAGGCGAACGCAGACGCGACCGATCTCTCGGGTGCTTAGGGCGAGAAGAAAAAATCGAGCGAGTCGACCACGGAGAACGATATCGGATATCTAATTATCCGAGGACTCGTTTCTCCGGCCTGTGTCCAGAATGAACTGTCGTGCGGAGAGACAACGCGTATACCTGCGTACGTAGAGCGGCGTACGTGTGGCCACGTAGAATGTAGGTAAACACAGGCGTGCACGGGCATCCAGAACGTAGACGTGAGTGGCGTTCGCAAAGAGATACGCGGCATCCGTAATCCTGGCGACTTAGCGCGTACCCGAGGATTCTTACGCATACGAGAAGAAACGTGCTCGTATTACGGTTCGCTCGGTACTACAGTTACGTTAATATCCGTGACAGAGACGCGTCGAGCATGAAAAAAAGGAAGGCGAGGAGAGACACTCGGCTCGGCTCGGCTCGGCCGGTCGAGCGATCAGCCAGGAAAGAGGAAGAGGAAAAAGGAGCAGCAGGAGAGTGACGGACGGAAATTTTAACCGATTATTACGTGCTCCTCTGTCCAAGGTACGAACTTGCCGCGTGCTCGGCCGACCTGCTCCCCGGTTTATTGACCAGCACGGTTGGCACATTCGTCCTCCTCTATTCCTAGGCCGTGATCACCGCGTATATACGCCATTAAAAGCAACACGCGTGGACGGATGTTACCGGTCGAGTTCCGTTACCTTTCCCTCTTTTCACCATCACGATCCGGATCGTCGTGACAAGCCTAGGCTGGAGCCTGCTTCCCTTTTTCGCTCGACCATCCTCGCCGAGATGCACACTTCGATACTACACCCGGAGCGACCGGGCCGTCGAGAGAGAGGAGGTGTTCGGTTGTTGGAAAATGCGGCATCTCGAATAGCCATCGATAGACGAGGACAGCGACAGCGATTGAATCGTATTAAAAGTAATCGCGACGATAATAGCGATAAGTGGAGTGGAACAACAATGGCGATGGAATAAGTTGGCTGAGGGCGAGGGAAGAAGAGAGAGAAAGGTGGAAAGGCGAAGATCGGGGCAGCGAGATGGAGGAACGAAGGGGGTGTAATTTCGCGGAGGAACAAAAGGGAAGAAGAGGAGAGCTGGAAATTTATCGTCGACTCGAGAGGGAGCGGGAGATCTTCAGAGGCGAGGTTTTGAATTTACGGCGAGTGAATCGCGTCGGATGTACAAAGTTCCCACAAGTCGTGAGAATCATTTATTTCGCGTCCGCGTTGTCGACAAGCCCGTGCTTAACGTACTGGGACTGTACGCGTCGAGGGACTGCTACTCCCGTGCAATTTATCCCTAACCGAATCATTCGAAACGCGAAACTTAACGACGAAGACGCGGCAAAACCACGGATTTAAACCGGGGGGACCAACGATCCTTCTGCATCTTCCAATCGAGAAGCGTAAGTTCAAAGTTTCCCCCGCGCTTATTTTTCCCATCGGCAAGTTTCCAGGGCTAATAAATAAGCATGAGCAGCTTTATACATATATATATATATATATATATATATATACACAATGGTATCGACTTTTATTTTTCCCGCTCGCTGCCTCGCGAGCGTCTTCCAAGTTGCGGAGGTGCGGAACTGTTAGAGGCAGGAAGTCACGGTACCGGAAATCTCGTACGATGTAACGTTAGAAGTTCGTGGCCGGAAATAAACATTTTTCGATCGCTTTTTATCGCCCAGGCATGATCGTTTAATGGAGCAAAGGGAGGCGTCGAAGAGTAGCAAACGACGTAGGAGCTTTCATGCTCAGTGACTTCAACGCGTGTATTTTAATGCAATTAAAGTAAACGCTAAACGTATCGTCACGCTTGCCTATTTATTCGTTTCGCGGGAAACTATCGCGATACTTTCCCCGGCATGTACCCGTGTTTGCCCGTATATTTACGGCTGAAGTTTCGCCGATTGATTCCGATGCTGGCACGGATCACCGATTCTAGGACCGTCGCGAATTTCTCGCATGGCCGATCATCCTAATTACGAGCCGGCAATCGTGAGTGGAACCTCGGATTCGACGACCATCCGCGGTTAACGAGACGGTCGTATACACGGCTTTCGACGAGCTTATAAATAACGCGGATGCGAGAGATGTCTGAAACGTCTGCTAACAAGCAAAGAGACCCCTGTTTACGACAATTTCGTCCAAGTTTCGCAATTACGTAAGCATCGCGTGTCCGTGCCCGAGCGCGAAGCAAATGTTATATGCTAATGCGATTCGTAATCGATGGTTCGGGCTAGCGCGAGGAACGATATCGTACGCGAATCCTAGCATCGATTCCTACACGCGGAGTTTCATATTTTTGTGTCTTTGCTTCGGCCCCATTAACTCGCAGACTTGGTTTACCAAAAGCACGCTCCGTACGCGCTGAATTATTCGCGATAAATGCCAACTATGTCAGCACTTCCGATGCTGCAGACGAAACGAGCAATTACAGCGTTAATTTCTTTCGACGAGAATAAACTCGGGCGAAAAAATGTGTAAAGATATCGACTATAACGGCGTCGATGAATAACGAACCATCGACTAACCGTGACGAATTGAATCGTCACGCGCGTTGAAGAGGCATTTTTCAATGACGAGTTAAATCATCGTTCTCGGTTAATAGTTAGTTGGGTTAAGTATGGCTAGAGCGAGGAAGCAAATGGAAGGACGTATCGGAGGAGGGGACAGCCTTCCGTGCTTTCGCGAAAGCGAGGTCGGACACGACCACGAGGCAGACGATGATAATTTTCCGTTGTCGCAGGGAACAAAAGCAAATTGCCTTTTACTTGGGCAACATTGGTTCGCCAGTTTACGGCAATTAAATCGTTTAGCCTGCGATGAAAGCGGACGTTCGCTGTGACGAGACGAATCGCGTCCGATCGTCGTACGTAGCTCGGAAGGAGAGCGTGATTGTAATCGTCGGTGCGTCGTAAAACGACGGTGTCCGCGAATAGCGGGTCATGCAAATTTATCAATTTAGTGCCTCGATGCACCGAACTACATTGAATCGTCATGCACCGTGATCGCGACGCACGACGCGCGACCAATCCCGCGATAAAAGTGCAATTACGGGCCAGTAATTGCGTTTGCGCTGTGCTTGCAGCAAGCGATTGTTAACGTTTGTTCGGCTTTCTTTTTCATTATCGACGTATCGACTATGGGATGCGATAGAACGAATAAAATGTCCGATTTTCAGACGCGTAATCGAGAATGTCCTTTGAAAAAGAAAAAAATGGCTCATAGGCCAGAGTAAATTGCGTCAGAAGTTTCAGTTAAAATTCAGACAGAATGAGCTTAGTTTGCCTGGATGGTCGGAATATTCGATTTAAAGACACGTGGCATTTCGTTAATAACGATTTACCGATAAATCGTCAAGGGACTTTTTCCGCGCCTCAGAAAAATCCTCGATCATGATTCGAATTTCTAACTTATCTACTCTATCTACTCCGTCTATTCTCGCGTTGCATTGTTCGCCTGTACTTATCGCGTATCACGCTGATAACTTAGGAAGCGAAAAGAGAAAAAAGAAGGTATTAAAAATCGCATGAATCAACGCTGTATACTCGTGACGAAACAAAGGTTATCCGACGCGAGGAACGAAGGCTAAAAGGGAGGATGCGCGAGCGGAAAAACGCATGGCGAAATAGTAGCTTTCTCTGGAGGGTTTGTCCGTGGAGTAGACAGGTTCGTGGCGTTGGAAATCTCGAGCGGGAGGGCTGTGGCAGACGGTCGAAGGTACTTTTTTCAAGACGTCGGCCGCGAGGAAGGTTCTATTCGATGTCGACATTCGTCTGTCGGCGCACCCGCGCTGTTCTAGGAGTCATTGCCCTCGGTCTATCCCGAGGTTCTCACGCGTTTGCATACAGGCCGCGTTCTACGTGTTTGTGTCACCTGTCTGCGAAAACAGGTGCCTATTCAACCAGCGAGATCGCTTCCTCTGCTACGTCCCGTGCCACGCCTGCTGACGCACAGCCGGTTGAAAAAGAGCCGTACTCAACGGCCAGGGTTGAACCTGGTCTGCGGAAGGAGAATCCCCGCGCGCCGCGTCTAATGGCATTTTTAGAATCGCCATACCATAAGCCGAACCTCGACATCCTTTCCGCGATATATCCTCTTTCCTGTACTCCGGATTCCAGCCCGAGTGGCTCCGCGGACACGTCGGAATGCATGCCATTCGCGTTAAAATACCGCGAGCTTCGACACTCGAAATAGGCCTCGCGACGAAATTCTAGGTGATACTCTGACACGGAATATCGCGTTTGTGTTGCAGGTAGCCCAAATGCCAGTCCGGCACGCGAGCCTTCCGAAAATCACCGTCTCGAAAGCTCCTTGGTACCGGCGTAAGTATTCCAACGATGAAATGGTACTCGATGTATTTCTTTTTATCCCTCCGTCCAGCAAATTCCCTCATCTAATTCTGGAACATCCTGATCCGAGTGTACGCTCGCATTTTTCCCGTTAATTAACCCCCGATTCGCGATCTTCGTCCGCGAGGATTACCCGGACGATAGGCTCCGCCCGAACAAAAGCCTTTGATATTGATTTTAGCCGTGCATTTATTTTCCCGACCGTACGAATGGAAACAGGACTTCAACGACGAAAAATCAGAAGACCAGAGTTCTCGTTGGCGTATCAGCCGGTCGCATTGGCCGAAAAGTACGCGGCCGACGGTGGCATCGCGAAACGGCGAGCAAAGATGAAACGGTGCACACGATTTGCAAGCTGCGCGTGATTCGGCCTGGCGGAACAGCCAGTCGATATATAGGAAAAAAGCGCCGGCGCCCGGTCCGATATAGACCAGAGCCTATTGCATGCTGACGTAATGGAAGAACGAAAGGGGGCGCGAGCGGAGTTTGAACGAAGCCGAGGAGCAAAGAGAGTTTGGTCCGTGGCCGCCATTCCTCCTGTAACCCGTAGGGTCATCGTAGGTTTTGCGTCGTGCTAGACCACAACAAGCGTGCCTTTGCCTTTCTTCCGCGTTCGTTCGCTTTTCCGATTCTTCCTCCTTTCACGCGCGTCTACTACCTTTGTATTTTTCTCGCAACCCGATGGCGGAAGAACGGTGCAGGGACTGTTGATTCGATCGCGTGCTATTCGTGCTTCCTAACCAAGTCCCGCCATGTCCTGCCAAGTCTCGCAATGTCCTGCAACGCGAAGCGGAGGAGACGAAAGGCGGTAAAGGTCGATGGAGAATCTCGGTTCGGACTCGTTACTTTTATTACGTCGAATCGATTCATAGGCGAACTCGCGAGAGATGATCGCGGAGATACACGATACGGAAATCTAAAGTGACAAGAGACAATCGGTGAGTCACGATATCCTTCCTCACCGCATCCTTTGAGCGTGAACGGGATCCAATGTGGTCAAGCGTGATCTAACGTCTTGGATTCCCGTCACGGTTCCCGAGATCCTCTCTTTTCTTTCCCCGTTTGAACCATACCTTTCTCTCCCCTTTAAAATCCGAACGTTGAAGAACCGCTTGAACTTGTTCCAAACCGTTCTTGCCGTGGACGTGAAAAAAGTCCTAATCCCCGGATGGATTTCGAAGAACCGTTCGTTCCGCCTTTTTCCACGGTGTACACGTCAGAAAATTTCGACCCGTTGCTGACCGACGATACAGCAACGGACGCGTTCGTATAGTATCGCACCGTTTGTACAGTTATACCACCGATGTCGATCCGTTAGAGAAAAGAAAGCGTTTCATAGAGATCGTTGAAGCGTTAACGGACACTAACTCACGGCTGATGGTGTAATTAGTTCCAATTGGTAATTCAAGCGCAACCTCTTTCCTGCTCGGCTCGGCTCGGCACCGGACGCGAGGCGGGCATAAGGATACGCGAGCAATCCAAAGCGCATCGATTTCTGCGCTCGTGTTACTCCGTTGCCCCAGCGATGTGCCCTAGCAATTACCACTGTTTCCCTTTTCCGCTACGAGAATCGCTTGGCTTTTTTCGTACAGGTGAACGGAGGAAGGACAATGTTGTCGTACATGCTACCGACCGAGGACAAACCGCCACCCGGAGACTCGAATCAGGGCAACTATCGCGCTAGTAAGTTGCAGAAGAGCCCGAGAGAACGTCCGCCGATAGCGAGCAAACCTGCAGGCAAAGTGATCACCGTTTCCCCGAAGAAGTACGTCGACTCGAGCAGAAGCATCATGATCGTCTCGACGAAAATCGAGGAACACGAGGACGGCGATCAGCAGAACAGGCAGGACGAGCAGCAACAGCATCACGGGGTGTCGGCCGAGAGCCCGAAGCACAATGGCACCGTGGTGAAGAAGTCCACTCTGCACACCGCCAAGGTGACCAAAGATGACAGCCTGTACAGCATAAATAGCGACGCCAGCACGGTCGGCAGCGATCGGAAGACTAGTCTGAAAAGGTAAGCGCAGACCCTACGGCTATACGTGTGGCTAGAGATGCGAGTCAAAGTAGAGAGAGAGTTCAAGGGTCGTGCGAGACCACCTTTCTAAATTGGTTCGCTCGGTCTTTAACCTTCTTTGCGGTGTTAACCTAGCTTCACCGTTTCGCGCTCCACCCAAATCTCTGCCGTTTTCGATAATTCGCGGTCGTCTCTTACTTACCTAACCTTGAACGCCCGATATCGTTCGCCACGAGTTATCCACCGCGCTATCGTCCGCGATAATAGACAACCTCGCGCCGCCTATCGCTGCTATTTTTACTCCGTCGCGACGCGATTCCGCTTCACCGCGTGTGAGTAGTCCGCTTCCGGATATCGGTGGAAACCCGACGAAAAATCCAGCTGGCAGAGACGCGAGGCGCGCTCGCGTGAAAGCGGAATGGTCGGAACGTTTACGCGAGCTCTGCTTCGACGGCGTTCTCGGCATAGAGCGGGAGAAGGAAATCGGAGCGGGTCGTTCATTGTCAAGGTGGAACGTTTGGAAGCCTTGCTCGAGTTAAAATTATCTGTCGGTTTAAAAAAACACGCAGATACCATTGTATCGTCTTCTTATTTCGCCGCTGAATCATAGCTCGGCTTCTATAGCTCGCGCGCATTGTCACGGACAATCGATAACGCGTGTGTGAAAACGGGATATAATGAAATTCGCGATACGAATTGAATAACACTTGGCGAAACAAACGCGGGGAGAGCCTCGATGGTAGCCGAGGATGCGATACCATACCGGTTTATAAGCCGTCTTTTACGGCACATCTCGCTCAAGCTCCCGTGACATTTACATGTTGGGTAGGTCACGGTCATTCCACGTCTCATGGACCGTGTTTGAACAAATCCTAATACGCGCACAGCTTATACCCTTCTAGAGGCATCGCGAGTTCAGGAGCACTGCGGTATTCCTTCCTTCCGTGTATAAATTTACTAGCTATTTCCTTTATTTGCAAAATATTTATTCTATCATCGGGTTTTTTTTTCTTTTTTTTTTTTTTTTTTTTTTTTTTAATTTCTAAAATACAATGCGGGGCAGAGACGAGTCTACACTGCGTCAATTTTTGAACTGCTGTAACTTTGCGGACAGAAATCGTGCGGTAACATTGGTGGAGTCAATGTAAAGGGCAAAGCGTGTACTTTCGCGTCCCTATATTGAATTTCTACTTAATTGTTTTTACAGCGAGAGACAAAGAGAGTTTTCCATTTAGAAAATTGCGAAAGTTCAAATTGCTGGTAATTTGCTTGACAAATTTTTTCCAGGGTACAAGCTACCACGAGTCAAACCTCTCGAGCCTTTAGCTTTTAAAAACCCCATGGGAGTTAACGTACGTCGCATTTCGCTTGTTTTTACTCGTTATGATCGATATGTGTGAATAGAACTGTATCCCACATATATTCTATCGTATGAACTCTTTTAGTTACTATCGTGTCGATATCGTACTCTTCGTTCAAAGTGAAATCACTTGGGAAGGAAAAATCGCACGCTACCTTTTATGGGGTTCCTGAGAACTGGACACTTCGGTGGTTCGATCCTTGATAGTTTGGGCCCCGAAAAAAATTTCTCAAGCAAACTGCCGACGTTGGAATTTTTACAATTTTTTTAAAATGAAAATCTATTTCCATCTTCTACTATGAAAACATCTAAATAGAAATTCAATCTAGGGACGTGAAAGTTCGCACTTTGCCCTTTATATCGAGCCCACAAACGTTACCGTACGTTTTCTCCTCGCAAAGTCATGGCTGTTCAAAAATTAACGTAGTACAGACTGGATATTTATATTTGAAAAGAGTGCGAACGCGAATTCGATGACAGAAGGATAACGTAATCGTCTAAGAAGTTTCGTTTAAATTCGAGCATCACGCAATGGCGGAACATTAAAGGAGAGATGCTCTTTTCTGCCAAACATTGTTCCCTGTTTATAATGAAACTATCCAGTATTTTTAATACAAACCGATCCTTTTCTCTCAGTAGAACCGTAATGTCATTAAATTTATCCGAAGGTTGCTCCGAGGACGAATTCATGCGTCCCTCCCCTCCTCTCCCTCCAAGAAAAAAGGATAAAAAAGGAAAAAAGGTACGAGATGTAAAGAGAGAAGAAGAGAAAGAAATTTCGCAAACTCGTAAAAAGAATCGTAAGTGTATTACGTTACGTAACGCGACGAAATTGATGGTTTAATTTTTCTGAGTAAGAAAGTAAGAGAGTAAGAAAGCGGCGAGTGGGTGGATCGCGAGTCATAGTTACGTCATCGAGAACAATTCGGGATGGTGACACAGATAGAGTACATACGAGTAGAAAGAATCTACGTGCGTTAGTGGCCAGATAGCATTTGCAGAATGTTACAGCCATGTGATTCTACGTATCTTTATGTTCTATCTCTGCGTTACCCTCTCGAGCACAAGCTCGTTGCGCAAGGTTGCCGCCGCGTGGCAGCACTGTGCTAGCAACCATTCCAGCCTGGATCAGAACCTCGTTCTATAAGAAAAAGAGGAAATCAGAGCACGCAATTGGCAATCCAGAGACACGATAACTCACGAATTTCTTCTCTTCCGTTAATTCTTTCTCCGTCTCTTATAATCGTGCCGTTGAAAATTATCTCGAAGGTTATTTGAGGTTAGTCCGGCTTATTTATCGAAGATAAATACTAATTGCGCCCTCTCGTGACTTTTTCAGACTTCGATGCTACCGTATTTTGCACATCGTATAAGATAGACACTCGTATTTTTAATCTCGACCGCTCTTGATCTCTGTAATTCGATCGCATGATCGCGGGATTTCGATTTTGATATCGGACCGCCCGCTCCTGCGGTTACCGAGTGTCCGATTCACTTGCTCCGAGTACTGTCACGCGATAGGAAATTGAGGTTTACGGGAACTATATTTTTTTTCGGCTTTCCACACAGCTAATGATACTTTTTACGACGACAGTTCTTCCTTCGCTATTTTATCTCGTTCATATTTGGCTTCGTTTCCCGGTTATTCGTTCGGCTATCTGTACAAAGGTAACGTAACGCCTGAGACGAACATCCAAATGCTCTTTAACTCGACGAGTTGTTCGGTAGAAATAAAAGGTAACAAAATTGACTGACAATTTACCTTTCGCTTTTAGAGTTTCCTTCGGTTCGAGCAAAGGATCGATGGTGGAAACTTTGGTATACGAGACACCTGTTCAGGAAGAACCGGAGATCAATCGTTTTATGGACCACAACGGACGCATACCCTCTATAATCGCATCTGTACCTGATACCGAGTAAGTAAATACTGTTACACACTCTTCGTTTCCCATTTTACGCGCGTACACCTGTACGTGTGCGCTGTTGTGTGTCATGTCATCCGACACTGGTACAGAATCGTTAACTGCAGCTATGGGATTCTCTGATATTTCCCTTTTTTCCTGTCGGAACCTACAATAAACGTGCAGTGTCTATTGAACGTAACGAACGTCGCAGCATGAATATGGAATGAACGATGAAGGCTGACATGTCCTTGCTGGAATCTTACAGGATCATTTTAAATCGTTCTTCGAGACTGCGTTTCATCGATGATGGAGTTAAAACGTTACCAGAGTTGTAGTTCGGCAATTTAGACACCTCCGCCCACGCGCGGTCTTCCTAATAGACTTCTACTTATCGCTCAGTACGATCATTATCGCGTTTGATCCGGTTAAACGACGGAGCACACGCACGGAATGCTTAATGCCAGTTTTCGACAGCGTTACTATCTCGTTTGAAATTGAATTTCGCTCTAATGCGAATAAATGTTTTCCCATAGGGTATTCCGCGCCATCTTGTGTGCCCTGTAACAGAACGTACATGTCGATTAACTAATCGAGGATTACGGCCAGAGATTTTTCGCGTGTTTGTACGATGAGGAATCCTGCAAGTAAAAAGTAGTACATTGTCGTAAAAGGTAACGATATTGACATCATTCTCGAAGCTTTAAAATATACTCTGCCTCAGGATAAGACATGATGTCATCCTTAGAATTTGCACATCGACAAACACCAATTTATACCCATGCATATATATCTTGTTATGTAGCATAAATTTATTCGGACAACTATGTAGATAAAACAGCATTGCGTTTAACGTTATCCCGTTTAACGTTATCCCGTTTAACGTTATCCCGTTTAACGTCGAACGAGTATCAGCAGCGCGATATATCGATGTAACGTTTTAAAATTAATGGGAAAGACGTTTGAAAACCGATGTTATCGAAATAACCTTAGAAACAGACTTAATCGAGAGGAAGAAAAGGAAAAAATGAATCAACTGAGATATTCGATCGCTTTCGAACTAACACAACGACCGTGGTTATGCGTCGAATAATTGCGCGTTTCGCAAAAGCGCCGAGAGAGCGTAGCACCGTCGCGGTTCTTCGACACGATGTCGGCTTGCGCCGCTCGCAGTGTTAAGCGAGACAAGGTGGAGCAAGGGAAGCCCATAAACGCAGGCGTGGTGCCGAGGATTTACGATCGATTTCGCGTCGCGTACGAGCTTCGTTTCCCGGAGAGCCGAAGTTTAGTTCGTGTCGTGCCCGGGCATCGGTCGACAGCTTTGTGCATTTTCGCGAGTGTTTAGCGTCATCGAGTGATACCGGTTGAGCCTGATCGAAGTCTAGGGGAAAGAACTTGCATGCCAGGAGTATTTACAGGAGCTTCTCGTCATTGTTCCCGAGCCACGGCCACGGGAAGCTGACGGATTCTCATCTGTCAGGTATGTTTCTCTTCTTACCCTATCCGTTGGTAAATAGAAACGAGAGTTCGCCTCGTTCGCTGAACAAAGCACGACGATTCGGCGTAACGATTTCGATGGGGGAGACTCGTTCGAACGCGATCGTATCGAGAAAAAGCCGGCTCTGTAGCTTTCTTTCCATCGTCCCTTCGTTTCCAACTATTTTAAGCGCAACGACGAAGATTAGTCGCGTGCGCTATCGCGTTTCTCGCGCACTTCGAGTTTTACGCGTCGCCGATGATCGTGCGTATCCTACAATCGATTCTCCGTGAAAAGCCTATAAACTGGACGAACTAATGTAATAAAAGGGGAAGGCGGAGACGGGAGAGACACGGTAGTTACCGGGGGAGAAAATGTAAAAGAGACCGAGTACTCTCTGGCTAGTTACCATGGCGACGAGCCATCTTGACACACTACGGACCCTTTCTTCCGAACCTTTGGATTTTCCTTTTGTTAAACCGGTATATACCTCCACTTGAGCAGGTAACGTTTTCGCGTTAACCTAGTACTTTGCTCTTCACGTCCATCTTACACGAGAACTCTAACCCCCTTTCCCTAACGTGCCGATATGTTCGATTAGAACTAACGGTGAAACGTGACTCATTCATGCGGATTAAATATAAAATTTATGCCGTCCTTTTTCCGACGTTTTCGCACACTCGTCCAGAGATTTAATTTTATTACCTGGCGTGAAAAATTACACACTCGCACTCGACGTTGAAAAACGATTCGAGTCCGTGAAAGAAATCGAGCATCGCGGAGCGAAACGTTCTCGTGCCGTTATCGCCAATTGAAAATACGGTCGAATCTTCAACTCGCTCAGATAATGACGTTATCTATCTTGGCTACGTTTCTTTTTTTTCTAACGCATCTATTTCTTACCTACCTATCGTACACGTGTACATTCGCCAATTCGGTAAATGACTCATCATCGAAAATTAACCGAACCCAATGACGAAATTTAATTTTTTATATTCCTGATTTCACCGGCCGGGCAGACTCGATACAGAGAGCTCTGCGGTCGCTGTAAAAGTCAGATTTCATCACACGTTTGGGTAATATGAAAATTATTCGTTTCGAAGCCGTAGAACAATCGAATGTTTGTGCGCTCGTTCGTTCGTTCGTTCGTTCGCTCGCTCGCTCGCATACTTTTGCAGCAAATAAATTTAAGCGCTATATCGAAGCTTAACGCTAGTCGGTCATGCGTGACTGACATATCTAATACGTATCGCCGAGTTTGCGTCGGGAAATCGTGATTTCGAGCGTATCCGTTCCTTTAGCGGATTAAATAGTTGGCGCGACGTCCGTGCTTTCCTATTCACGATCGTTGGGAAATTTAAGCGCAAAGTAGGCGCGTGTCGGGACGAACGAAGCCGGTTTCCAACGATAAATTCCTCCCAGTTATGAATACAAATTGAAGCGGCGCATGTGGGAGTCGGCGTCGCGTCACACGCACTCTTCCGACAGTGCCGTTTAACCGTTCGTACACTCTCTTGTCGCGCAACCGATCGCATACGCTATATGTCGTTATATAAATTCCGGCGAGTGCGAGGAGTTAAAAATACGCGGCAGGACTGTTCCAAAATGGAAAACACGAAGGAATCTCGATCGAAGCCGATAATTCATGCTGCGTGACGAATCGAGAATATTTACGGAGCTAATCACCATTAAACCTTGCCTCGCTCGCCTCTGTCCAGCTATTGACATGGTTCTCTGAGCTTATTCCGCAGAGAAATCCGATTTTTATCGCGACATTTCTCGCGTCTCCTTGGCAAATTTACGCGTCTAGTTCGCGTTCCATTTTCTGCAAACGTAGATTTCCCTCGATATCACTGACCGTTCTCATTTGGAACGGGTATAGAGAAGTCGACCTCGCGGGGTTATAGACGCAGCGGCGCCCACGTATCTATCGACCATCCGCCCCTTTGCTCGTAAAATGATCGATGCCATTACTCTCGAGTATCTTTTCGACGAAGAAGCCTCGTCTGCGAAACTGGGTTAAAATTTTATTAAGCACACACTCGGATTCTTCCTACCGCCCTGTAATCCATTCGTTAGTCTACTACGTTTGTATCTTCGATTCGAAGCGGCGCTCGAATTACGTCGCACGCGCGTCGCGCTAGTTCGCGGTAACGCCGTTGGCGCTGCTCGCGGCGAAGGAGCGAGCGGGGCTGCAATTAAATCGTCCTAACTAGAGATTATTAACACAGATTATTGGTAACACGACGATCGAGGAAGGGAAATAAATTCTGAGACGGAAGGATACTCGGTGGCGTGCAGGGCAAATGCGAGAAACGTTTCGGCCTACCGAGTACCATCGGAATGATATCGCGAACTCAAGGTCTAACCTTTAAATCGCGTGGTAGGTGTTTAACTGCACGATGACGTCAGACCGCGTGCTACCGTAGCAAACGTGGAGAACGTGGGTGTCGAGAGAAAAGAGAGACCAAAGTATATTCCGAGACGCACTCGTTGAAATAATCGTAAACACACGTTCCCCGCGTTTTCTCTGTTCCTCGTCGTTACTGTTCGATAGCGTGCACGTACGCGAGTGTACGTAGGTCGATTTCTCTCGTCGAACGCGCGTAACACTCGTGCATTATCGTCGCAAGATCGATTTCTTCGTAACCGGCTGCATCGGGATGAAAAGTCGCGTGACCGTGGCATGGTAAAACCGGTTCCGAGCCAGAGCAGCCCGGCTTTGCTTCTCCGTCCTTTCGGTTTCTTTCGTTCCCCTTGCGTGAAACTCTCTTCTCTCCTTTTCCTTTTCCTCCATTTTTTATTCTCTCCTTTCCCGTCCACCCCTTTTTTTCTTCTTTTCACTTGCACGAAAGTCGACGTGGAAGAATGCGCGGATTGCGTAAGCGGATGACTCGCGATGCTCGGTAACAGGTCGGTTTTTCGTGCCTATTGCGACTCGCTGGCGTAACGCTAGAGGTTGGTCAGTAGTTGGTCGGTAACCACAATAACATTAAGCATTTCGATATTCGCGTTATCGTGGTTTCGATAATAAAATCGCTCGTCCTTCTCGCGTAACGCATAATACTCGAGGCACGTCCTATTTTCCCCCGGCTTTATCTCCTCGATTAAAACCAACAGATTCGTTGATCGACGTTTATGCCGGTGGAACGTGTGCAGGCGTAACTGCACACGCGATTAACCACGCACCGATACGAAACGCGTATCAGTGCGCGAGTAGTTGTCGGATCGTGAGCGCCTGATAAAATCCGTACCTGCGATTACTTTTTTCCAAATAGCCTGCACTGATTAAAGTATTTTTAACCGCGTTTATCTCGCGATTAATAATTTATCCTATTTTTCCAGCCTTTCTTTCCTCTTCCGTTACTCACCGCGAGCAACAGTCGACCTGGCTATCTTCCGTTCCGTTAAATCCTCTATCGATAAATAAACGGTGCCCAGTTTTGTATAAAACCGGTTAATTAATAACGACGCGAAGAATGAGGAAACGAGAGTCGTTAGTTGGGTAGTACGATCGGAGACGGCACGATACGCGAATTTGTCCATTGTACGAGGTTTCCTCGCCGAAAAGTATCGATTAAACACTTTCTCCGCAATCCGTAGGGGTGCCCCTTGAAAAGTGAGAGGGTCACCGTTTGCGCCACAGGGTGGTGGCGAACAGCCATTGAACGAATGGGGTGACGATCTGTCCCGAGGCAAATTCTTCGTTTTACCGCCTCTGCAAGGTCGCACCCTGCTATTTTACACGCGTTTATTTTTTCTCTCTCCAGGAAACGAAATAATCCATGGGTAATTTCGTTCTCGGCGAAACGAGGACCTGGCCTATACGCGTTCGAGGAATACGTTGCTTTTTAGCTACACTTTGTAACACTGCTTCGTTGCAAGCGGATAAACGTTTATTATAATACAGGGAACTCGAGTATGCATACGGGGTGTTCGCGAAATCGCGATGCAATCGACGAGGAGGTGATTCCTCGCGTAAGACCGAGTCGAAAATGTGGAATAAATAAAATTTTCATATGGGGCTTCGTTTTTGAGATAATTAGATGGGTAGTTTCATTGGGTTTCATAAAGAATATCAGTCAGTATAGGATATAATTTTAACGAATGAGCCGCGAGTTTCGGTACCTGATTTGTTTTAGCGACCAAAGGATGTTGCAAACGCCGCCATTTTTGTTCCCGGCGAATTTTTGATCGACCAATTACTGGGACGTGAACTGGGCGTGTTTTTCCCTGAATTTTCAATTTCGATTTTCTCGAAATCACCTTCTTGCCGATTATACCACGATTTTGCAAACACCCCGTGTATGGTAATTTAGAAATAGATAGAGAGTTGTTTAACCCCTTGGCTATTGTGGGCGCATATACGTGCTCAGAAATTTTGCTTTTGTGACACGGAGGGCGCATATGAGCGCTCAACACAGTTTGCTTTTGTGACACGGAGGGCGCATATGAGCGCTCAATACAGTTTGCTTTTCTGACACGGAGGGCGCATCTTTACCCAAAATTTTGCCGTTCTCGGCGGACATTGTAAATGAATTCCTACCCGTGTGATAGGACCGGTGCGTTTCAAAGTCTGTCGTAGTCAAATGGTTAATATATCAAATGCAACCTTATGCGAGAGCTTTAAGGATCGCAATTACCACTCTCTGTTTGGTACCTGCAAAGACAGGCAGTCTTATACACGTTATAGAAGTTATAGTCTTTTGGGGTAAAGCGTCTGCAATTGGCTTCACCTCGTCGCTGTATTTTAAGCCCTCATTCTAGGACGTCGCAGTATTTGATCGAATTTCTCGCTGAGATGGAGCGCGATTTACGACGCACCTGAATGGAAAGCAACAATTTTCTATCGGAGTTAATGACATTTTAATATTTCCGGTTTTATTATATCGGCTATCGAGTAATCTCGCAAATTGGCAAGTGTCGGCATACCCTTTGGCACGATGCCATTCATGCAACACGTGAGTCGAACGAAATAGTCAGCTAGCATAAGAGTGTCATCGAAGAAGAAAGTTATTCGTGATAAATCACCATTAGCTAATCGTGTTCCCGTGTCACTGACGATATTAACGAACCACGAGATAGCCCCTATCAAAGTCTCCAGGAAATTCTCTTTGATGCGAACCCAAGTCACTTTGATTAACCGATTCTTTCCATTTAGACCTATCTCGCTTCCTGTCTTCTTCTTTCACCGACAGAACTAACCGATTCTGATAGGAACACCTCGATTCGAAGCCAGACTTGTGCCAAAACGTATCAACGTTGAAGAGATAAGTTTAGTTATATACGAAACTCAATCTCGGATATAAGGTGGGAATCAATAGTTTATAAGACCTAGATTCCGAGAACTAACGTTTATATAAACATCAGATAAAAATTGGGTGTTTAGGGAATTAACGGGGTACGCGTCACGTACCCTCCTGATACTCTCGAGTCTATCAGTCGCTCTAGAAAAACACCCAAAGACAGATCAAACGCTCAAAGACTTTCTCGAATAATAAAAGAATTTGTAAGAGAATTATACGTATCGTTCTTATTTCACAATTATAAACTCATAATCCCAGTAGCATCCGGAATGTAAGATAACGCGATTAGAACGTAAGACGCTGAAGCTTTGGCTCGGTTCTCATGGTTTCCGCAATTTTTCTGTTTACAGCGAAGGTAGGGAAATGGTACGCGTGTCGTTGCTAGGTCCACAACCTTCACCGACAACGCCCGGCGTATTTCAGGTGCAGCCTATCGCGATATCGAGGACTCAACCGATCGACATGGACACCGTTCCGGCCGAACTCCTGACCACGCACACCGAACACACAGCTCCCGCCTATCACACGCAAATCAGGTAAGCCTCGTCTTTCTTTTTCTGGCCTTCCGTTTCGTTTCGCTTCGTTTCCTTCGCTTTCACGCATCGCACCTTCTCGGTTACATCGACGAATCATCGATTGCCCTGCCGCGTTGCTGTTATTCGGCTACCTCCATCATCACGCGGCTAACGCGATCGTTATCTCCGGTTAGAAGAGCACGCGAGGATTTCCACGATAGTCGGTGAAACTCGCGATTTCTCGGAAATAAAATCGCGCGTTCGTGCGTTTTGCTGGAGTGGAGGTTAAAAATATCCGAAAGTTCCGTGTGAATGAAATCTGCACGAACAAGAGAAATATTTACAGCGAGATAAGCCACACGCGTAACGTACGTAAAGAGATATCATCGAAGCTCTTCTTTCGTCTTCGTTTACCTTTGTTTCCTTTATTCTGTAACGTTTCCTCTGTTCTGTAACGTCGAACCGGTTAATTCGGAAAATTTTCGCATCGGAAAAGTCTTTCAAAGCTTTCGCAACTCGTACGAGTTAACGCTGAAGCACGATCGGTCGAGCGATCGGTAAATGAAGAGAACCTCGAGGAAAATGGAATAAACGAAGATACTGGAAAATTGATAATGTACGCTTTCCTCGATTTTATGGATTTTACGCGGCAGTTTTTATGTTCGATCCTAATTTACGCGACTAGGAAACCTATTAAAATATAGTTTCCTAGAAATGTTTTAAAAGTAACAAGTGTATACAGTACTTTACTCGACGCTGTTGAAACGCGTCAGTGCTGTATGATATTAGGATAAAAGTACAATACGTCATGTTAGTCATCATTTTTTCCTTTTTTTGATACCCGTTTTCGAAACGTCATTGTTTTTTCTTTCTGTAAGTCCATTTGAAATAAATATGTATTTATTATAGCTTTTGTAAAAGGACAGGATTTAAATCGCAAAATTTTTAATCGAGTGTCTAAGAACGATTGTCGAGTTTGCGACAGGTTTAGCGTGAAATTAGACTTTGTTCGTGCGAACTGGCGTTTGCACGGTACGAGGAACTCGTCGACGATCCGGACTCGTCATTACGACTGAAAGGGTTAAAGCATGTGGAACAATTATCGAAAAAATGTGGGTGCACGCGATGGGATGAGAGCCACTACCTTTCTTATAATTAGCTCCCTGCATACACCAGCAGTGACCCCCGTGTTGCTCTTAATGGACCGGAAGTGACGTGCCGTCCCCTCGGTCTCTGCTTTTCTCCGTCTTTCTCTGTCGAACGGTACCATGCTACCAATTTACGTTTTCTTCCCGTCTGTTATGCACACGCAGAACGAAGCTCCGCGTATAGACATCGTTAATCGAGTAACCGTTACGCATTCGCGCGTGCCTTCTCTACTGCGACGCGATCGTTTTATGAATCATTTGCCGTCTGATCAATCTCCCACCCACTGGTCCTCTCCTTTCCTCTCTCTCTCTCTCTCTCTCTCGCTCTCGCTCTTTTCACTGCGTTTCTTTTTAAGTCGTAATCCGTCTCGAGCGTATCGTTTTACTCGTTCGGTGTACATTTTCACGTCTGGAGACTAGTCGCGTATCTGTTTGCACGATAAAAAGGATTCCTTGCGCGGTGCGCGGGCGATGGTCGGGGAGAAAAATGAAAATGGGGGTAAAAATCGGGATAGAGTCTCAGGATCGATATCCGAACCGCCTATTCATCGAATCGATTAACACCGAATCGAAAGGAAAAAATGCAGGTTTGCATTACGACGAATTGAGCGTGAACCAGATGTTTCCGTGCTGAGATTTAACGAGGCAGGAAAAACGGAGTCGGGGTCGGGTCAGGCTGATCTCAGGGTACGTTGTCCCGGTGGGTAACGAAGGTGTACATCGCGCATATGCTCTGTTGGGATGATACAACGTCCGTCGTCTTTAAATAACGCGACCCTCTTACGCGAGTCGCCTGCATGCTTTAATAGGTGTATGAAAAGTTACGACGGCATTACGAAGTTCGTAAGACGGTGCCTTGACTTCGATCCATTCGACGATTGCTGTTGCACCGGTCGCCTCGTCGCAACAAGTGTTTCTAAACGAGATTCTGCATTTCTCGAACATTCTGGAAAACGATTCGTCGACGAAGATTTCAGATTTTCCGCGCGATGATCGGAAGTGGAACCTAACCTAACCTAACCTAACCCTGAAGCTCGATCGTAAAGGGTAAATCCGCGAACTCTGTTCTTTCGTCCGTGTCACGCCTACGATTCGCGTGGAACAAGGGGATTCGATATCTGTAGAAAACAACATGGTTGACATTTGAAAGAATGCCAGTGACCTTCGCGTGACCTCTACGCGTCCACCTGCGGAAAAATATTTACCTTAGAAATCTCTCATCCTTCTCTAACGTTTGCTTCCAATTTTAACCAGAACATACAGCTTGTTACACTTCATCGAATCGCCCTGTGTGTATTTCTCTGCTTTCAACATGCACTTTGATTGTCCTTATCTGTATAGGCAGTAAATAGATATGCGTCACAGATCGGTGAGACTAACGCGATGAAAGGTCCTCTACGATTCTTGACAAGGCTACGTGTTCCTCAAGATCGCTCTCTCGATACGCCTCCCCGAAATGATGTATAAATCGACTTATGGAAATAAGCGAGAAAGCGATCCAAGTATCTACGCGTGTTTTTGCGCGAAAAACGTAGGCAAAAGGGGGTCATGGAGCAGAGAGTAGGTTGAGAAACCCTGCTGCAACCGCGCAAATACTGTATTCGTTGATTTATCGAGTCCCCTGACAGCGACAATAGCGTAAAATAATACAATCGTTTCACGTTTTCCGATCTACGCACACTCTGCCAGGAGAGCGATTTTTGTTACCCGTGTTTTACGTAACACAATGTTCCGCGTATTACCTACGACACGTCAGTTGCATACCGTGAGCATAATCGCGCGAGCGACGAGGAAACATTTCGGAGCAAGGTTTTGCAAAAGCCACCATCGCAACGCTGCTCCGTCCCACCGTTTCCTTTCCTATTGTCTGCGCCTTGCTCCGCCAGTTGCATCGCTATCTGCTACGCCACGACCGATTACGTAACCCCGCCATCGTGACTTCTTTCCTACCGGTTTAATGAAATCTCCTGTATCTCCCTTTTTCTCATAATCCAGTGTACGTGCATCGAAGTACCAAGTGCACCGGTTAAATCGGCGTAAAATCGTACGACAGGAACGTGCTTCTTACGCGAGCAATCGCCTAGCTTTTAACCCGACACTGACGATTCAATCTCGATTCAGCTTCGAGGTTTTCTTCCCGACGAGATGGAGGGTTCGGAAAGCTGGGAACCTTAGTTTCTTGCAACAAACGCAATCAGAAGTCCCCTCGAACGAACATGCACACTACCCCGGAGATCGAACCTCTTGCGAGGAGAGGCCCTATCCGTCGACATCGGGTTCCCAGACGTTTAAAGCCGAAACTTCTTTCTTTTATTCGCGAAACGACGGTGTGATACGATTTTTAAAGGAAGCAATCTCGTTATTGCGCAGTAAGAAAGAAATTAGAAATGAACCGTGGAGTCGGAAAGTTAGCTGATGCTTCTTTCGCGGTAAATACGGGTATCCGATAGCTTTGAAAGTTTCGAGGAATCGCGGAATAGGATTAGACGACCTGGAGACGCGATACGAAGTTGTACGTACTGGACTGATGGACGGAGGAGGACTTGGCCCAGTTTCCAGCGAACAGAAGTAGCGAAAGTATGGACTTTAACAATTTAACGATACCGCGATAAAGAATAGATAAACGAGAAAGGGATCAATCTTACACAGAGCTCCTCGGCCGTGGTCTGAATATACCCCGAGCGAATCGAATGGAGTAGCTGTAGAAATCCGTGTCCATTGTAGGTAAAAATATTTCAACCTGGATAATATGTACCATAAACCGTGCACAAGGACAAAGAGCGAGTGTAGCAGTGGCTCTAGATGCTACTTTGTAAGGTAGAGTTTGTCGGTACCGATGCCAGGGCAGTGCGAGGAGTGTCTCTCGCGCTTGATGGTAGCCGAGTAGCCAATGTAGAAATAGCATCGGCAGTGGTACTATTAACAGTACCGCCACCACGAGGAACACTAGGTACTAGCATAGCGGTGGAAGAGAGGCGAAGAGAGGAAGAGAAGGAAGTGGGAAGAGGGAAGAGGTGAGTGAGAGGCAGGAGAGGAGAGAGAGGAGGAACGATCGATATAGCGTGGGTGGATGTGCAGAGGTGCGGTAGGACAGCCGCCAGTTGTGCTGTCGGCTGCATCAACGAAGAACCGTGCTCTCGATCGGTTCGCAGTGCACCGCGTTCTCCTTTGTCCGTGGTCGCAGTGTGCGGTGTTTCGCGTGCACCCGAATGCATCTGAGCTCCTCCGATGGGGATCCCTGGTGATTGCTGCCAGCCGGATACGCGCCTCGCTTCCTCCTCGGCCATCCGCCTTCGATGAAATTTCGGACGATGACGGTGCGATACCTATAGAGCCGCTGGAACGTGTCACCGTGTTCGATCCCGATTACGTCCTTTGCTCGACGTACCGGAACTGCCGCGATCGGTAGCTGCTCTTTGCGCCTCGGGAACGGGCTGTCAGTCAGAGCTCAGGGATCACGGGTTTTCCTTTGAAAATCGCTCGCGTGCGGGCCACCGCGGACCCAGGCATACGGAGCACACATCGGGAACCTTGAAAACGTGCAAACGTGCTTTTCCTCACCGATCCTCGAGAATCGTACTTCGCTATCGAGGATCGTCCTCGCAGAGCCCGGAAGACTTAACAGAAAACCGTTTAAAGGGAACCTTCGAGGTACGCGCAAAGCGCGATAAGTGCGAATTTTTCTGGTGGTGAAGGAAAAAATTCGAGGTCGACCGGTTTACACTGGCGAAAAGTAGAGCTAGGAATCGAGGTTTATACCGAAAGACGGGCGCATAGTTTCGGGCATCCGTAAGCTCCAGAAGCTCCGGCGAAAAGCGGGCTGTGGCTTCTTGAAAATAGAAACGAAGCAGCATGCCGCGAGCAGCATAGCGA